ATATATATATATATATCTTTAAACAAGAAAGACAGTATAGCCACTATATTTACACACTGCTCACTTACTTTAACTTCAAAATACAATAACTCAACATTAACAGATAATTATGCTGCTACATACAAATCCACTTAACCTATGCCTTTAAAACATATATAGCCCTGCAGGAGATTGTGTTGTGTTCTATTGTCTACAACTGACTATATCAAAAGAATAAGGAACCTTTGTCTACACATTAAGATAACAAAGATATGTGCTGAAGTTCACAAAACAATTGTGGAGAGATAGGAGGAGTTATGAAAGATTATAAAGTTGTAAAGATAAAGAAAACAAAGATGTTTATAAAAACATTTTCTAGAATAAAACTTGGAAATTAGGAAAAATACACAAACATATGCAACTTAAAGTACAAAACTAAAACATCCTCACAAATTCAAGGGAACTCCACAGTCATTAAAAACAGATATTAAGCCTTAAAACACCAAACAGTACCATAAGACTAGATTTTAACCATCTCACCAAAATTACTGTCAGATTTCAATAACTGCCAGAAAACTGAACGTTGGCAGTGTGTGCATGTGCATAAACAGAGTAGACAGCTAAAAGTTTGATATTATTTTTTAGTTTTTGGTCTTCTGATTGGTTTCAATCTGTATCAGCACTTCCCAATTGGTTACAGTCTGTATCAATATTTCCTGATTGGTTATAGTCTGTATCAACATTTTCTGATTGGTTCCAAGATAAGCATCTTCCACATTTTAAGCAGAGAAAAACAAATCTTTAGCCCAAACTGTACATTGTTCAGGAGCTACAGCTAATAAAAGTATGACAAGCACAAGATCGAGACAAGTTTGATGTTTCAAAGAAATTTTGGATAAGAGCTTGGAATAGTAAAAAACTAATGAAATATTAATCGAAACTTTGTAAAACACTGAACATATACCACAATGTAATTCATACATTTTAAACAGTTTAACACTTCGTAGGCATTGACTTTCTTCAACGGCCAAGTTCTCAGACATGTGATTGTAACTGACATAAATAACATACTAAGGCACTAACATAAAATTTATCAGGAACTGGTATTGTTGGCAGATATATATTGTGATGGATATATTATTATATATTTATTTCAAGATCAATGTTTGTTTAAATTAAATTTATTTTTAGAAATGTAGGTAACTTATACTGTTAAATAGGTATTGCAAAACTCCCACCTATTCTCTAAAGTTGTAGAAGATTCTTAAGAGTAAGAATCAACAATATATGTGTGTACATAAATGCTATTGTTAGCATCAGTATTGTTACGTAAACTGAAATTTCGAGAAACTCTCCACACACCTATAAATATAATCAACATTAGTACTTATATGAAAACATTACCTAACTTCAATGGTGGAAAAACCTGGTGAAGTACACAGAGCTAGTGAATCATACCTACATTAACTCCAAATTAACTTGCTCATCGTGAACCCTCGATAAGATATCAAGGAAGTTCCAGACTAGAAAGAAGACTTTATATTACTTGTAAGTTTGTAAAACTTTTGTTTATAAATCATTATCTGTAATAAGTGTTGTAAATTGTATTATTGGTTGTATATTAAAATATATTTGTATAAAACAAAGAAAAAACTGTGTGTATCAATCTTGTTGACTAATATCATTATTTGAATACATATCAGCATTTATTTAACTACTAAATCCAAAGTACAATTTAACTCAGTTGTAAGCCATTCGAAAATTTAATACATAACAATATATATATGTGTGTGTGTTTTTCTAATTTCATTTACACAGTTTATTGGATTAACCATACATTTATGCAAGTGTAAATCATGTATCTTTTAAACAGTGAGTGCTTGTACTGGTTAAAGTTCTGAACACAGAATATCTAGTTTGTTATGTATCATCCACTATGATAACTTTATTTAATATCCAACAAAAGGTTGAGTACATTACATTAAACCAATTTTGAATATAGGAATCAGCAAGTCACATGACAATCACAACTGATATAGAGTTGTGGTGGAATGAGTGTATCATAACTACATTTTCACAGTGTTTGGCATTTCATAGTTAGTGTGATGCCACTAAAAACTGATCATTTGAGGGAAGGGTATGTAACAGCCCTCTCTAATGCAAAATATTCATATACTCGGGTCATGAAGATTTGTTCGTATCGCAAATTGAAAATTTCCAAAACAGAAATATCCCTTGTACTTAATGGCATATAAATCAACTTGGGGCACCAGAACCATCTAGAAAGAGACCTGCATCAAACTGTATTTCAATCTGGTAACAAGCAAGCACCCACAAATACAAATGTCAAAGGCACAATCTGTCCTTATGCTACAGGTAAACGTATGCAATATGATCAAAAAGGATCTCCATCTGGAACAGCAAAACAAGATAGGTGTATACAATTTGTTTCCAAGACATACCCGTTCAATCTTTGCATAACTCATGCAGATGGAAAACAAAATGGGTATTCACGTTATTCCATGTGTATACATACTGGCCAAGTTGCTGGAAGCAGCATCTACAGATTTCTACATAATTGTATTGTTTAAATTGGTAATGGTATACCATTGTCCCTGTACACTAGATAAGATTATGGAAAGCATCCAGGGAAGAGGAGTATGCTATGGACATGTCAGTCAAATCCTCTTGCAATGGAAATTATGCTGTAGAGCTTTGTCAAGATGCACAGTCATCAGATAGAACATGATCAGATGTAACAATGTGGACTTTAAAAAAGGTGGAGGCTCCAAATTTTTTTAATACAAAGTATTTAACCTCTGTAATGCTCATAACCCTGTAACTCCCCCTTCTCCCACCTAAGATGGATTGAAGCTATGTTTTTAGTTTTTTGGCCCTCACTGACCATATCATAAACTCCTGACATGATTCAAAATTGGAATAAATTTAAAAAAATGTCTGATTTTGAAATACAAAAACATCAACTTGTAAATATCAAGATGTTCCCCTAACTATGAAGGTCAACATGACTCAAGACTTTGATAACTGTATGAAAAAAAATCACACACATTCTTCTAAATATATAGAAAAACATTGATGGTATTACAGTAACTACAGAAAAAGTAAAGCTAGCAACTCTGAAAAAATAAGAATAAAGGACAGAAAAAATATATTTGACTGTAAAAGAAAAATCTACGGTTACTTGGAGAAAATTTACTGAGATTTATGTAAGTATTTATTTAAATATTATTTCTCATTTTCTTTATATCTATCTGTCAATTTTAGGTTTTTATTGAAGTAAGTATTTTTTATTCTGGACCTAGCTTGAAGGTAAGCGTGACAGGTAAGCCCACTGGTCACAAAAACATGATGACTAAGAAACACTTATTTGTGAATGACTTAATTTTGTATTGCATCCAACAATTAGATTAGAATCATTTTCTTTAATGCAAAGCTTACAGAACAGTAAAGCTTATAAGGTCTTATATAGTTTAATTTTAGATCTATTTTGTCTGATATTTCAAAGAGGATTGTTTGTTTGTTTTGAATTTCGTGCAAAGCTACACGAGGGCTATCTGCGCTAACCGTCTCTAATTTAGCAGT